ATTATCGAAAAAGGCTGTCAAGGCGATGATGGAAACTTATCCGGTTTATGACGTCACTCCATAGCAACCAGCCTTTTCGAATATTTGAACTTCCGTTTACCTGTGGCTCGTGATGGTATGTAATAAATTCTGAAAACAAACTTGTTGATGAAGAAATCATCTGGCTGATGAAGAAATCATCTGGCAGAGAATTAACTTTACCTTGACTTGACAGTACATCCACTTTCAAGACAAACACGTTGGGTGACCTTTATCCGCCTGTGGCAAATGAGCGCTAGTTGAGGTTATCATGCAAACTCCTCGCCCGTTGCGTTCCATTGTTGTTGGAAACCAACGCAGGTGCATACCAGCGGTTACACCAACAACAAAAAACTATGAAACATGCGCAGACATAATGCTACTTTCGCGTACATTTCACGAAATAAACAATAACCTGGTGGATAACTGGCGATATTTTGGCAAATTCGAGAATTTGCCGATTCATAGATTCGATTATTGATCGCGAAAAAGGTTTCAGAAGTTTGTTTTAAAGCTTTACCAGTCGTGGAAGAAAATGTCATCTGGTTAACTATCGTTACTTCTGTCTCTTCCATCGACTGTTCTCCTACCATTGCGATTACAGGTTTGTAACTACAGGCCTAAACATAACCGTTGCTTTACTCTCCGTGGCACAGTTGTGCTTTTTAGTCTAAATTTTTATTCTAATATATGGTATATCCACCATATGTGTTACAAATATTACTAAGTTAGAACGAATTTATGTAGCGAATGACTCTGAACTCTCATTTGAGTGATAAATTTGAGCGTAGTTAACGAATAATAAAGTAAAATTGTTATCTTTAGAACTATGTTTATGCGATCTTTATTCGTTATTCCTCTGTGAGACACTAAATAGCCACAAAAATATCAATTTATCCAATACGTATAGTATTTCTTAGAATCTGATCGAATTTCTGAATTTCTTTATGGGAAAATATTAATGCAGTCTGAAGAATATTGCGAAAGAACTAATACTTTTGACTTGAGTTATTCCATGTTAACAGGATGATAGATATAGGGAAGCGTTCACTAAAGTTTGTGCGTCAAGTGATAACCATTACTGGTTTCGAGAAGTGAGTCAGGAAGTTTTTGTGAAAAATAGAATATATAATCTGAGCAGACTCTTTGAAAAATAATATTATATTTTTCAAGGGGGCTAAATTTTAAGGGGTAGTCTATCTTGCAGGGACCATAATCCTGCTGATTTCTACCAAAAGTTGCGGGACATGCTAAAAATATTTTCATTCGATAAATGACATTTTTATTCGCTAAAAACATTTTCATTTGATAAATGACATTTTTATTCGCTAAAAATATTTTTATTCAATAAGAATTTATTTACGTATGATGCACGATCCTCGCAGTAGATAGTGCTATTTAAGCAATAGCGAAAATCAGACCTGAAAAATATCAGGCCTGTACGGGATTCGAACCACTGACCTCTGCGATACTAGTGCAGCGCTCTACCAATTGAGCTAACAAGCCAACTGGGAGCAGGCCGTTAAGTTGATTCGTAATAAACCCGTGAAAGTGATAAATCAGATACAATGAAATATATGAAGTTCATATATTTTGAACTGCGGTATTAGATACGTATGATGCACGATCCTCGCAGTAGATAGCGCTATTTAAGCAATAGCGAAAATCAGACCTGAAAAATATCAGGCCTGTACGGGATTCGAACCACTGACCTCTGCGATACTAGTGCAGCACTCTACCAATTATTTGTGTGCTAAACTGTTTCCGTGCTCTTTTATCATTTGATAAAAAATATATTTATTCAATGTTTTTTCATTTGATATTTTTGATAAAGTCACATGACCCAAGGAGGCATGACCACAAAGCTTTTACAGCACAGTCACAAAGCTTCGCGTCATAGGCCATTTTCTGTTGTCCAAAATTCAGAGGGTGGATCAAAACGGGAATTGAATCGCATTGATTTGAGTGTAGTTAACGAATGATAAAGTAAAATTGTGATCTTAAGAACTATGTTTATGCGATCTTTATTCGTTATTCCTGTGTGAGACACTAAATAGCCACAAAAATATCAATTTATCCAATACGTATAGTATTTCTTAGAATCTGATCGAATTTCTCTATCGGGAAAATATTAATGCAGTCTGAAGAATATTGTGAAAGAACTAATACTTTTGACATGAGTTATTCCATCTTAACAGGATGATAGATATAGGGAAGTGTTAACCAAAGTTTGTGCGTCAAGTGATAACCATTACTGGTTTCGAGAAGTGAGTCAGGAAGTTTTTGTGAAAAATAGATGATCTGAGCAGACTCTTTTTGAAAAATATATTTTCCAAGTGGGCTAAATTTTAAGGGGTAGTCTATCCTGCAGGGACCATAATATGGTTGCCGAAAAGTAGCAAAATTTGACAAAAAATAATTATTTCATTGGATAAATGACGTATTTTTATTCGCTTAAAATATTTTCATTCGATAAATGACATATTTTTATTCGCTAAAAACATTTTCATTCGATAAATGACATTTTTATTGGCTAAAAATATTTTCATTAGATAAATGACATTTTTATTCGCTAAAAATATTTTCATTCAATAAGAATTTAATTGTGTGCTAAAACTGTTTCCATGCTCTTTTATCATTCAATAAAAAAATATATTTATTCAATGTTTTTTCATTTGATAAAAAAGATATTTTTGATAAAGTCACATGACCCAAGGAGGCATGGTCACAAAGCATTTACAGCACAGTCACAAAGCCTCGCTCCATAGGCCATTTTATGTTGTCCAAAATACAGAGGGTGGATCAAAACAGGGAATTGAATCGCTTGCTCATACGGAGTGAAGTGAGGCAGGCCATCAGTGAGTACTTTTCCAACAGAAGTAGTCCTCAGGCTGCACCGAGTGAGTGTCAATGTAGTAATTTTCAAGTGATACCTTGCAGTGAATGAAGTCGCTCTTTTGTGTAGTCTACTGGGTAAAACTACAGAATACAGGGCCACTTATTTACATCTCATTGAATCACAATGCATCCATTTGTTTTCTGCCTCGTTCTTCAAAGCATGCCGACAAGGTGGACTTGAATGGCCCTGTATTCTGTAGTTGCTCCCAGTATCAGGGTTTAGCTCAACACCAGCAAGTTCTTAATCGCGCAAGAGACATAATAAGATCATTCTGCATTTGTTGAATAAGCATGCCATTGACACACAGCCTTTCAGGTGACCAGTTGTGCTCGGTTCGTACTGGCCTGAAATTAGATGCTCTTGTAAACTCATCAAGGGTGACATTGATTCGTGGAAGGAACACTTGATGTAGTAAAAACATCTGCAGAGGGTTACTGACACTCAGTAACCACTCTCTTCCAATGAATGAAAAACGGCGTAAAATAAAAAAGAAACACAACGAAATACTTCTCTCCATATACGCTTAATCCATTGATTTCTTGTAGATGGCCCTGCAATAAAACTGCCTCTTCCTTCTCTTCCTTCACCCCTTTCTCAAACCATAAATCTTGCAACCTCTACGTTTTCACCCCCATGATCACCTCTTGCACAAGAAGGCACACCAAACTGTTGTACTGCCCTCTGAAAGGCTGACATCACTGTATCTGCCCGATTGTTGGTTGAACATCTTAAAAATGTAATCATTCTAGTAAAGCTGTTGATACAGCCATGGACTACAAATTCCCATCGTATTTGACTATGATGCCCAGCTATGTGACATAACGAGTTGGGCCAAGGCACACTGTACGCCCTCCTTTGTTATTACGGTTGCCCATCAAAGAGCACTGTTTTCAGGGTCAACCCTATTGAATGATGCACAGATGCGTTCACGCTGTATGAGATGGCCCAGAGATCACATGTACCCTACCAAATACGACTGTCCAGTTGTTGTTCCATGTCGAGATATAAACCCACTAATAACCTTGTCAAGTTGGTCATCACTTATGTTTGACCACCTGCTGCAGCCCAACCCATACTCTTCTATGGTGGCTGAGAACTGCCATTCAAAATATTCAAATTTATAGGAATTATTTTTGTTATTTTTTTTTAAATTTCGATTTATTTCTCATTTTTCTTTTTAAAATAAAAGCAAGTGAAAGTAAAATGTAAAATAGAAATAAAATGAAACCAAAGATAAATCAAATCAAATCAAAATTAAATACTACCCGGCCGAGAGCTGCCACAATTTTTTTTTTTCGCGGTCGGAAAAAAAAATTTGTTCATGGCCGAACGCTGCCACATGGCCGAGGGCTGCTGAACAAACCCAGATTTCTTTGCAGGATGCCTTTCAAGATTCTAGTATGGCAGATGCCGCATGGAAAACTTAAAAGAGAAAGTGACTGCGAAAAGAGGGAAGAAGCATGATGCAGGAGATACAACGCATAAATTAATTAAAGGAAAGGAGCTGTATCATAATAATTGTCAAATTCAACGAAAATAAGAGCCATTTGCTCACGGTGGGTTTTGCAATGCATACAAAGCAACCACAAAGCACCCACAGTTCAAGGGGACTACCTGGGTAATTAAAAGATACCTTCCTGATGCTGTGAAGGGAATAAATGACATTGGGCAAACTGTTCAACAACATACCCAAAAGGCGGTTCAGATGCATCTTTTTGCAAGGAATTTTGCTCGCCAGTTGGAACAAAAAATCATTGGAAAACATGCATTTGGAGAGGTCCTAAGGTATAGAAAGATCTACTACGGTGAAGATGATAAATGAGAATTTGTGACTGTGGAGGAGATTATTGATGGACAGTTTACCAAGTACTTTAACAATACTGGTGATTGTTGTGTCGAGGAAACAGATGTTATGGTTCAGAAGGCTCAATGTCTAACCCATTTTTCTTATGAAAAGTCAGACAAAAAACTCATGCTGCTAGACATACAAGGACATGGGTATGAATTATTCCACCCAGAAATTGCTTCTCATGAACTTTTTGATGGTAGCGGATTCTGGGTTTGTTTGGCAGTCCTCGGCCATGTGGCAGCGTTCGGCCACAAGCAAATTTTTTTTTCCGACCGCGAAAAAAAAAAAAACAAAACAAAACTAGTGGCAGCGCTCGGCCAGGTTACGTATTTAATTTTGATTTGATTTCATTTATCTTTGGTTTCATTTTATTTCCATTTTACATTTTACTTTCACTTACTTTTATTTTAAAAAGAAAAATGAGAAATAAATCGAAATTAAAAAAAAAAATAACAAAAATAATTCCTATAATTTTGAAATTTTTAATGGCAGTTCTCGGCTACCATACTCTTCCACTCTACGATAGATAGTCCATCTTGATCCTCATAGCATCTGCACAATCTGATTCCAAGAAGTTCCTCTGCAATGATGAACTTTGGTCTTCCAGGTTGCGATGTATGTACAACACTACGCAATCCTAAATCGACAAGACTTACTGTTCTCCCAGCTATTTCAGTCATCCTCTCAAACCAGAACTGATGTATTTCAGAAAAACACTCACAGAACTGCAGTAAATTGTTTCTACAATATAGATCCTCACTCTGATCAAGTACACTTCGCAGAACAAAGACTCTCTGGTCAAGACAATTGAAAAGCAGCGCCGCTGACTGGAACTCTAAGTTTATAATTCTGGCGCTGTGTTTGCACCTATCCAGTAGATTTTCAGCAAATATAAAAAAATCATTCCAAGTAGTTGTATCTACTGCTGCATCTAGATCTAGATTTGTCGCCATTTTCAGACAGAACGTAATGATTTTGGATAATGGTGGGAAGCTTTGTGACCATTCCATGCTTTGTGGCCATGCCTCCTTGAGTCACGTGACTATCAAAAATATTTTTTTATCAAATGAAAAAACATTGAATAAATATATATTTTATCAAATGATAAAAGAGCATGGAAACAGTTTTAGCACACAAATAAACTTTTATCACATGAAAATATTTTAACAAATAAAAATATGTCATTTATCGAATGAAAATATTTTTAGCGAATAAAAATATGTCATTTATCGAATGAAAATATTTTTTGTCAAGTTTTGCTACTTTTTGGCAACCATACTCTTTGACTTTTCTACAGACCTACCTTAAGTTTAATATTTTTGAAGTGATTTTTTTCCTTCCTTGTACTATTTTCTATACAATCAGTTGTTAAATCAAAGCCATTATTAAATTGACATGCCTTTTCTTTAAATATTTAAGATTCTGATCTAAAATCATTCAATTACAGCAAAGAACTATTTTCTGTTTTGTTGAATTCTATTTAAGTTTCTATTTTTTCAATTTTTTGTGTGGCTTACACAAAGGGTGTAGCCACATTATAGCACAATCTGATTTATGTATTTATTTATTTGTCCTCAAAAGTCAAGCACCCGTCATGTGGTCTAGTGTCGTATGGTACACTGTTCTGAGTAAGCCATCGTGGTTATAAGTATATGGTCTCAAGTAATTTTTTTTCTGGTGATCGTATCGCGAGTTAGTGCTCCTCCGGCACAAACCAACACGCCCAGACCCGGCTTGTGTCATAACTGCAGCTTGTGCAAGAGCTTCTATGCTCTTAAAAGACAACATTTAACGGCTCAAATCTTCGGTACGGGTTGTACTACACTTAAAAGAGTTAGTGGACTCTTGCAAGCCATCAACTATCGATTTGATGTATCAGCGCAGGTTGTACCACTGAGTGTCTGAAAGTGTTTGAAAGTGTCTGAAGCCTCCTGAAAGTGCTATAAAGTGAAATAATTTGTACTGTAGTTGCATTCTCCTTGCACTGTTGAGAATTCATGGAGGCATAATTTTATTTCAGAATGACAAAAGTAAGTATGGGGATCTTGATTGAACAATAACGGTCAAGGATTAGCTCTCATGACAATTTCGGGAAAACAAAGGATATCTTATTGTGTTTTAAGGATCATTTTTAGAGTTCAATGCTTATGACATTCTATTAAAATGTGTTTTATTTGCCAGTACTGAAACAAGTTGTTGGACAACACAAAATATGGAACAATGTGATGTTTTGGTTGTTACATATGATATTCTACAAAGCCTATATTCCATTGCTTATAGGAGCCTAGTAGTGTTACAACTGAAATGTGATTAGTATTACGTTTTCCAAGTAATGCTCAGAGTTATTCAGACCTTAACATTTCATGACTTCTTGTAAGCTTAGCAGTCTTCTAAATGTTCTTCATAATGGTTCAGGTAAGCATTGATATTTAAACTTGGTAGCAAAATGTATGCATTAGGCCTTTATTTGGTAGACTACACCTCCCTTTTTAGTTACTTGTTTTGTTTAATTCATCACAATACTGATATACATGAAAAATGACACTCTTGATTGGCTGAAAACTGAGCTAGGTGCCTTTTTCATGTACCACTAGTGCAAGAGTAATAATTATCTCGAGCACAAATGTAAGCTTCTGGTAGGCTCATGCAGCAACAGTAAATCACATTAGAAACCAATCACATTTACACGAAGTAAGTTGTGCTGCTCATTGATACACATAGTAGCTGACCAAAATAAACAAAAGCTTGGATATTTTTATGTATATTGATAAACACTAACAAAATTGCATTCCAGAGTAAGATTTCAGCCAAAGGACAAATTTTGATAGTGTGTCAAGTTGACCATTTATATGATGATGTCAAGCTCACTTATTCATTTCATAGCTTGAATTTGGCAAACACGATGGCAGGAAATAACAATATCAATAATAAGAATACTTGAAAGATTCTGGTACTTTAAATCATATAATTCAATCATGCACTTGCTTGTACTTTGAATTCTGTTGTGTTTAAGTTATTTCTCTAATTATTGTTACTGAAATCTATTATGGTGACACTCTATCTCTATTGAACTTTCTGTTAAATTAAACCTCAGGGTTGGGTTGTTCAAAGGTGGGTTAAGATAACCCAGGGTTAGTGTGAAATTTGATTTCAGATCTGAAAGCTTCAAAAGAAAATTTGGTATAATTATTTTTGTCTACAATCTAATCTTGTGATTGGATGCTCTGAAAAGAATAAGGAAAATTTTCCCAAAAAGATTCTTGAATACAGAAATAAGGAAACGTGGATTAAAATTTAAACCTGGGTTTGAGCTAATCGGCCTTCGAACAACTGGACCCAGGTCAATTGTAAATCTTATTGGGTTAAAAATTATTAGCAATGTTAAAGTAGTGTTACCTCAGAGTACTACTCAACCTATGATTCATTAAAATTTTGCTTGCATTTTGATCTTGTTAGGCACCTATCATTTTCCCCTAAATTCTTCTATTTACAACCCCATAATCACCCATACCTCAACTAAATTTTTCTCTGTTTTTTATTCAAAACACAGTCCCACAAAACCCAAATAAAATAATTATATTAAATGATTTTCTCTCAACCAACTGAGATTAGACCTTTTTTCTCTAATGGACAATAGAAAACTACACTCAGCATTGTGTTACATACTTTACAGGTATGTTTTGTCCAAAATTAGCCATGCATTCAAACCAGATCAAGCTCTCAATGGCTTCTAGTGTAGATTACATCATTTCCCGAATATCCTGGTCCTTCTGGAAAGTTTTGTCCATGCTTACTGGTACACAAAATACCCAAAGTATTCATATAAAATGCTTCCCAAGAGTTAATTTCATGTCACTTGCCTTGGAAAAGACAATCAACCTACAAACTTCAGAACTCAATACCACTTTGTTACGTAAACAATATCATGACTGAATCTATCAGGCCACTGTAAGAGATGATGCTGACTCTTTTTTAGTTCCTAAAATCCTCAGGTTACATGTGCAACCTTGGGGTGTTTGTTGTCAAAATGAGACTTCCATTACAAAGTTTGGTGGCCATTAACCCTCATCTTGAAAAGGAACATTTCATGACTATATTGTGTACCAGTTATCTTGTTTTATCAGTAAACAGGAACAATATTGAAAACTTTATAACTGTACTCAGATATTAGCTCTTCCAATAGAATTCACATTAAGACATCAGACACTAAAAAGCAGCTCAATTTTGTAAGCCACAAGTACGCATTGCAAACCTATTTTTTCTATGAATCAAATAATACATATGGTGGGTGTGTGGGGGGGTGCATTTATATGATTACATCTCATAGAAGAAGAGAAGCTTTGCCTATCAAATCTTTTAGCTGCATTAATTTTATTGTTAACAGAAAATTCTACTGTAATTAAGCAATATAGGCGCATAAAAGTTAACCTGTAGCTCCTATAATATTAATGTAAAAGTAGTAGTGTCCTTATTTTATTCATTTGTACTTTTCATTGATTTTATTAGTTTCAACTTTAACCACCTGATGATAAGATAAAACTTCTTTTTCCACTCATGGAGGGTAACAGACAAGGCCAGACAATGGAGGAGTCAACCTTTAGCACAGCTGAAAATACTGTACCCTCAACTGGTTTTGTGCCATCTAATTCTTCCTGTCCTTTGTCATATCCAAGAGAAGCTGACTACTTACACTCACCTGTTGTGGAATTTTCCACCAGTTCTTACCCAGCAGACCTTCAATTGACGTCCGGTGTGAATGTACCACCTCAGCTACCTATGGACAGAAGAAGAGACATTCAAAGAGTAGGAGAGTCAACTGACTACAACATGACTGCCTCATTTAATGGACCTGGCATTCCCTTTGTACTGGACAACTCAACTGCATCGGCTTCTTTTTGGCCAAACAGCAATTTTTCTTCTTTCTCGAGAGTTGATGATTGGTCTCTGTCACCTAGAATGAGCTTTGTCCCAAGATCACACTTCAGAGTCTCAAACTTGACATCTGGTGTGAACCTACCACCACAGCTACCTATAAACTACAGCAGCCACACAAAGTCTGCTGTGAACAACATTACTACTAGTACTGTATTCAGTCCTTGTGTTCCTCGGTCACAAGACACTCCATCAACATCTTTGGTGTCATCCAGTTGTTTAGCTAATTTATCATTTGATTACTCACAGTCATCTTGCATGGATGTTTTCACCAGAGATAACCTCAGTGGAACTCACCTGACATCTAATGTGAACTTACCACCACAGCTAACTCTGGACAATACAAGGAGGAGTCACGCAGTGGGAGAGTTCGCTTTTAACAGCAGAGCGACTATATTCAATCCTTCTGTCCCTCGTTCACAAGACATCTCCAATCTACCAACTTGTTTTGTGTCATCCAGTTCTCCAGCTTCTTTTTCAAGGATTGTCAGTCATTCACAGTCACCTGCCATGGATGTTCTCACCAGACCTGACTTCAGAGGCTTACCCTTACCACCTGGTATGACTGTACAACCTCAGCTACCTATGAACTATAGAAGGGCAAGTCAGACAGTAGGTGAGTCAACTGTCAACACTTCAACTTCATTAGTCAGACCCAGTAACACTCCAGCAGTTCCAGCCGGTCCTTTGTCAAGAGCAAGAAGTCTAGCACAATCAATGAACCTTACATGCCTTGGTTCTGCAGCTTACTTATCAGAAAATCAAGTAAGATTTTGATCAACTGAAGATCAATCAATTCATTAACTATCTTTTTAATGTAGTAAATGGAGTATTTTAATTTAGAGAGGATACTCCAGATTTTTTTCACCGAAGAAAAATTGTTGAACTAAGCCAGTTTTAACTTTTTTGCTGAGTGAATAAGTTCATGTCAAGGATATTGCATAGCCGAGCATGCTGATATGAAATTTACCTTCTAATTGTGTTGATAATGATTAATTTTCTCACTTTGGGTGAATGACTATAATTATTAACACGAGAGTTAAATTATGTTTATTCACAGGCAGACGTGATTTCTTGAGAAGTTCTAGTATTTCATTACTATCAATGTAATAAAAACAACTAAACCCACTTTAAAATTTACATTCAAGACAGATAACAGCATGTATCTTGGTGTGACGAGTTTGATTTTTTGATATTACCTAGTGAAGTGGTTTGAATGATGGTAATGAACTTGAGGTCAGTATCATCTATTTTCACAGACACTGTCCATGTATTATTCCTGATCAGTAAATATCATGTAGAAACTAAAAAGAAATGTTTATTTCTGGTAATATAGCAAAAAGTACATTTCAGTTGACATGGCATGATTACACTGTATGTTTCTCTTGTTGTAGGCTTGTTATTCAAATAATCCTTTGCCCAGGCCTTCCCCAGCAAGTGCAGTCCAAATTGACTCAAGCAGTGTCTCAATGGCATCAGGTATTAGTTTCACTTCAAGATGAGAATGCAGATATTAAATGCATGAGACTGTTAACCTATACCAGACAACATTGTATTTTGAGACACAAAAAATAAACCTCTAGCACCCATGGTAAACAAATAAGTATAATATCTTGTGAATTAAGCCTTTCATTTCATACCTTGCTTTGAACAAATTTTTTGATGATTTAGACCTTGTGCTCCTTATTTTTAAAATTCTGAAATTTGATTGGCTCACTGCATATATCAATGTATTCAGTATTATGATAATCCATCTCCCCCTCTGGGTATTTAATGACTTATAAGCAGCTCTTTGATTGGATCATTGTCTTAGGTTTATCATCATCTTTAGTTTGAATGTTTGTGTTTATTTGCACTGCCTGTTGTTTTTGGAAAATAAATAATATTTCAACTTTTTCCCAATTTTTTTAATCTTTTTTTTTCCACTTATAAGTGAGATCTACTTTCATTACATTTGCAAATACTGGAAAGGTGATTTGACAGTTAGGAGAATGCATAGAAGGCTACATACTTAGATTCCACTTTTCCCTTCTTTATGTAAAGTATCTTATAATTTACTGTATCATTAGGTTTGATTAGCAAATGAAATTCTCTTTTTCCCAGGAAAAAGAAAGGGGAGAGAGTCACCTGGCTGTAGTAACCAGGGTCACAAACGACCTAAAGTTACATCTATGGATATGACAGGTTATTTCAAGATTTCAATTGACTATTTATGAATCCTAGCGCTATATGTATTTAACAATTATTCCACGAGCGCGCGTTGGATATGAGATGAGAGATAACCAACGAGGCGCTTAGGACCGAGTTGGCTATAATCATCTCATATCCAACAAGCGTGAGTGGAATAATTGTTTTATTTAAAATAACGCTCCCAAGATATTAGACAAATCTTCTCAACTTTATTTTGTACGAAAAAACCGGTTGTTACAATGTACAGATATTAGATTATGGTATATTGTCTCATATACCGTAATGGCTTAGCCAATAAAAAGTCTTGAATTGCATTATCCAATGATCCAAATTTTAATAATTATAATTGGTATATACTAAAACAGTGGATAGCGTTGAGGGCACGCTCTGATTGGCTAGTCAAACTCTGAATATCCTTTGCTATTTACCTCCGAGCAACTCGGGAAAAAATGGCACCCCGGTTTGCATCTGTGACAAGCGAAGAAATCACTCAAATTAACGACGGTGGTGTATATTATCTCACTGTTTTAGTATATACTAAAACAACTATTCACCTCAGTGTCGGTGGTTAGCGGTGGATATTTACTGAGCCGCGAAGCGGCGAGGTAAATATCCACCACTAACCACCTCCCCTTCGGTGAATAGTTGTTAATTATAGTGTTGTGAAAGAGGAGATCCATCAAAAATATTGTGGAAGAGAATTTTATTCATTATTGTAAACGAATCCAATTAATTTAGGGAGAATAGTGCAATGCTTTTAAAAGAACTTAGTTACATTGCAGTTTCTTGATGTCAGGTTGATCTGAGGCAGATCCAGGGGCGGTTCAGGAGGCTCGGTCAAACCCCCTAAATTTTCCCTCAAAATTCTGGAAAGCATGTTTCTGAAGACGACATTTTCAATTCTCCCAGGCCAGCATGCCCTTGGACAATTCTCCGAACCCCCCCTTGACTAATCCTGGATCTGCTCCAGTTGATGTAGATAAAAGTTAACCCTGTTGTTACTTGCTCCTAAAGCTGATGTTGAGCATAGTTCTTTTTAACGGAACAGTCACATAGAGGATTATGGGTGGGGTGTATGTGTGATTGTTTATTATACTATGACATTATTTTCAGTGATGCAATAATTGGTAGCTGTGCAGGACATAGGATTTAATTCATTCTCCAAACAGTGATGCTTCATTGGAGCATACAAAATGTGTCAATGGCTTTGGCCATGGGCTGGGTTATCTTAAAATCTATGGTTGTTAATTGTTACCAGGGCCACTTGCTAAAATTGAACAATACGATTAAAGGAAACAAAGTTTGAATTTCTTTAAATTTTTTCCCATCTTTGCTTGCTTTGGTCTTGGAAACTGATTGGTGCAATTGAACTAAGTTGGAATTCTTGTTTGTTTCCTATCATGTGATCTGTTTCTTTGTTTTACAAAAATTGTGTTAAAAAATTATTTTTGTAGTAAAACAAGGCACACCAACAAATGAAGAATTGGAGAAATTGGGAAACGAAATTGGTGAACATTGGAAAAAACTTGGGCGTCGGCTGGGAGTCAAGGAGCCCAAATTACAGGATATAAAACAGAGAAATGAGCAGCTGTGTGAGAGAGGATACTGTATGTTAATGGACTGGAAACAAGAAAAAGGTTCAGCTGCAACCTACCAAACTTTGAATGCTGCATTACAGCATGAATTCGTACAGCGCAAAGACTTAGCAGAACAAATTTGTTACAATCATGGTAATATTTTCAACAATTTTGATTACATAGAGTTATTGTGTGTTTATGTTGACCAGATTCCATGATAGTTTAGCGAACGCTAACCAAAGTTTCGGTCTTGTCTCTCTTTGTGCTTTAAAGCTACTATGTACGAAGCAGACGTCATACTAAGGGAACTCAATTCATAACCGCAGTCAATTCTTTACACCCGGATCTAAAATATGCCTGAGAAATTTCCGTCAATTCTTTATCCCTTTTAGATATCAAAGGGTGTATTACAAACCTACAGGCTCACATAGTTAGTTCTTGTATTCAACTTCGCATCCATCGTCTGTTAAGAATTCCATTCCCTTTTCTCAATTTCTAAGACTTCGTCATTTATGTAGCGATGACTCTGATTTTTTCCACAAATCAGAGTCAATCTGCCAGTTTTCAGAAAAACGTGGTTACCCTGTTTCTCTCGTTCAAGCGGGTCACCACCGCGCCCAACTTATTGATCGACAGTCAGCACTACAAACGTCACAGAAGGAAAATTCCTACCGCATTCCATTTACTCTTACGTTTCACCCTCACAACCACTCTGTCAAATCCATTATTCTTAAAACATTTGAATTACTTCAAAACGATCCAGAGACTGGCATTATCTTTCCGCAACCTCCACGCATTTCATTCAAACGCGACAAAAACAAAGGCAATTTTTTGGTCAGAAGTTCATTCCAAACTAATGACCAACTTGGCACTTTAAATGCGCTCGTGCACGATGCAAAACTTGTCCTTTCATTCACAACCCTGAGAAAATATCTGGACCCAAACAATCCAGTAAGACAACTGATCACTTCACGTGCACCTCCGCCAACGGTAATCTATAGCAGAACTTGCACTTATTGCAAAAAGATGTACATCGGCGAAACATGAAGACGACTGTGTGACCGACTCCGAGAACGCCTTTGCGACGTAGAAAGGAATGACATGGACGCATCTAAGCTAGTCGCTAGACACTTTAATTTACTTTATCATTTTAAGCAACATATGGCAATCTGCGGTCTTTCCTTACATTTAGGTAGCTCGAAAAGCCATTAAACTCCCGAAGAAAAGTTTATCTTTCAAATCGGCACTCTTAATCCCACAGGTATCAACGAAAGCTTTTCATTCTACTTATTTATACGTGTTTTTCTCGTTTGCCACGTTCCCACCAATAGCGTAGCTCCGCTTTCTGCATAGAAACCCACACACAACCCACAATTCCTCCATTCGCTCTGACGAAGGGCTAACGCTCAAAACGTCAGCTTTTTAACTCGTTACGGTGACTAATTTGCCATTTCAACTTATTGCCGTTTATTTAGTACCTTTTTTAATCACGAGATTGCGTTTTTTCTTAATGGACAAAGTACTAAAATGGTGTTATTGTGTAAGATTTACGGGGATATTTCTTATGACAAAGTAAATTTTCGGATCTCATTTAATATCTCAGGAACCATGCTGGAAAGTGAGCTGCCTAAAGTGCCAGTCGATGTACACGGCCATGCGATGGAGGTCGATAAGATTGTAAAATTCCTCACAAATGATAGCACCAAAGACGTGGAAGGAGTCCTAGTCAGCGGAATACCAGGGATTGGGAAGTCTACTGTTTCCATTCAAGCTGGTCATATACTCAAAGACGATTTCGGTAGAATCGTTAAGTTTTGCTCTTTAAGAGACCTGCATCCCACCAAAAATGGGCGTGACACCAAGGATGATGAGGGGGAAAGTGTGTTGAGGGAGATTTTAAACAAGTGTCAACCAGGTCATCAAGCACCTCATGAAAATCCCAGATATGTTTTGCTCAACTGGTGTAGGGGGCTTGAGCAAGACCTGGTTCTTGTGCTTGACAATGCAGAAGATGCCATGGAAGACAGTTTTCAAAATTGGTTCATTCAATTGTTGAACGACATGAGAACGTATTCAAAGGCAAAAATCAAATTCATAATTACCTCGAGATCTACAGACATTAAGAGCACCCGCGGACCAGATTTAGATGTTGAGAAGGTCCCAATAGAGCCTTTGAGTGAAGAGGATAGCATTAAAGTCTTAAAGGTAGTTGGACGTTTGCAAGTGGACTTTGACGTCTCAGCTGAGAAATTACGTAGGGTAGCAGAGCTGTGCGGGCACATTCCGTTGGCACTTCGTCTAGCAAGCGCACTTCTTTCTTCAGATTCCGAGTACTCTATCGACGAGTTAATAGTCGATCTGGGAAAAGATCCTACGCGCACACTTGAGTGTGAAGCTATGATGGAAATTGCCTTTGAGAAATTAAGCGAACGTTTGCAACATTCGTTAATTCGTCTGTCTGTTTTTGGCCAATCTTTCGAAAAAACCGCAGCAAAGGCACTACTTGGCGACAGTTGCGCTGAACACTTAACGCAGTTAAAGAAAAGATGTTTCATTTTAAAAGACGGTGATCGATACTTCCTTCACTTGCTTATCAGAGGATACGCCAGAACGATAGGAGAAAAAAAATTTCGGCGTATTTTGAAACGTGGCCGACAAGCATTTAATGAGCACTTTCTGGCTCTGATTTTGAGAAACACAAAGATGTACATGCGGAAAGATCAATGTAAAGCCTCGTTTCATCTTTTTAACGAAGAAAGGCTTAATTATGAATCCTTACTTAGAAATGTCATCACTGAGAAGATACGGAACTGTGACAGACTGCGAGATGTTGTAAGTGATTGCCGGAATGTCGCACTTTACGTAGAATACTGCATCCCTGTCAAATTTTACGAAGAATTTCTGAACGGACTTTTACGTTATGTTCAAAAGCAAAATGAAACAGTGCACGAAGTGGAAATTTTGTGCCTCCTTTATCATGAAGGAAGGAAACAAGGTTGTGTCGAAAAGCATGCAAAAAGCATGGACAGAGCTTCTACACTATTCCAAGAAAATCAGGCAGCTTTCAAAAAAAGCGTCCCGTCGGAGGTGTCTTATCTCAACCATTATGGCAGATATCTATCACAGGATTGTGAACAAATAGATAAAGCACAAGATCGTTTCAAAAAAGCACTAAGTATGTGCGAATCGTATGAAAAAGAAACTACAGAGTGGTTACCTGACAAGGCGACAATTCTTGGAGAAATGGGACATGGTGCAAAACTCCAAGGAAGGAAGGAAGAGGCACGTAAATGCTATTTACAAGCTCTCCAGTTTCGTCAAGCCCATTTTGGAAATCATATTTTGACTGCATTTGCACATAAAAATCTCGCAGATTATTATCTGAAATATGAGGATCTACCTTCGGCAGAGGAAAACTACATGAAAGCAATTGACATTATGAAACGTTTGAATAAAGCGGAGCACAAAGAGGCAATACCCGTGTACAAAAATATGGGAATCTGCTTCGAGAAGAGTGAAATGTTTCACAAGTCTCGAAAAACGTATGAGAAAGGAAGTGAGGTAGCTGACAACACCATCGAAGGAAACCATAAATGGAAGGTTTGGATTAAAACGTACTTGGCGTTGTTACTTCACTCAAAATACCCAGATGACATTACTGAGGCTGTCAGAATTGCCAAGGATGTTCTTCAAATGGGACAAGATCTTGGAATGAAGAACTGGCCACGAAAGGAAGAACTTGAAAAAATGTCTCAAACACACTAGACTTTTAGGAGAACTTCTGTTTTGAAGGACAAAAATTTTAGTATTGATGTGTGAAGAGGGTGTAGAGCTTTTTACAGAGGAATAATTTTGCCAACACCAATCGCTTGGGTAAACGTTGACTGAAAATTTTCTTTACCTTGGGTATCACTACCCATGTAACTACCATCAACTCTTTTCCTTTTTTAATATTGCATGTCTACGTGATTTCAGCGGTAGCTGGTGTAAATAACGCGGGAGCTGTTTCAGATATTCTTGGTTCAAGGTCTTTCTTGTTTTAGCTTATTTTTATTTCAATGTACCTGGATATGTTCTCTCAACTGTGGGTGTATTTTTTAGCCAATCTGCCACATTAAACTCTTAACTCACAGAGGTGAGTGTTAAAAACTTTGTTTGCTATACATTTCCCTTCTTTTGGGATTTTAGTCATCCTCATTCTCAGTCTCTACCCTTTCTCTACTCTCTCTCTCTCTCTCTCTCCAGATTCGTGGCTGAGTATCTGCTACCTTCTCTCCTCTTCTTTTTTGATATAAAATTTTCCAATCTTTTCCCGTTTTTACAGTGGAATATATCAGTCTATACTTCACTTATAATAGTTCTATTCAAAGTTACCGACCAATACGAAATCTTTAGTCAGTACTAAAGATTGATATGATATCAATCTAAACACGACCAACATAGCAAATAATCAATCTTTTGGTACACGCATCGAAAAAATCACGAAAATTGAAAATTTTGACGGACTTTAAAGGTCTTCAGTTCTTTTTTCTTTCCGTGAAACCCCTCTGGGATCTGGAATATTTTACTTTCCACACCATCTTAATTTTAGAACAAAACTGCGTTCCCACACATAGTATCAACTCGACTTAACAAGTCAAAAATTTTTGAGCAGGTCAATTATCTTTTTTCTTTATAAAATCATTATATTTTACTTTAAATTCGTTTTTTCGGTTGGAAAGTTCTGCGCTTGTGAAAGAAAACATGTTAAACCTGTTTTTTTAACTATATGTCCCAATTAAACGATTTTATTGTACAAAAATCACTCTAGCAAATACCCATTTAACGTAGCAAGTACCCACTTTACGTAGCAAATACCCATTTCTACTTCTTTTGCTCTAGAGAAATATTTTCTTTGGTAAAAGATTAAGTTTTAGGGAACTATTTGGGTATTGCTTAAGAAAAATCTATCCCTCTGTATTTTTTTATTTTAAGATATAACACGCTTTACCGACAAAAAAAGGGTACACGCGCATTTTTGTAAGAAATAGTTTCATTTCCAAATGGCTGAAATATTAAACAATTAAAAGTGTTGTGGAAAGGATTCTGTTATGTTTATGTAAGTTAAATCATGATAGCATCTTAATCTCATAAACGCTGCACTTTACATAGGTAGTTTGAACGACTACGAGCGCTTATTGTGGTGTGAAAAATTTCCATCAAGTGTTACTTTAGATAGCATAACATGCATCAGCAATCAATCCTTATTGAAATCTGAAAGGGACAAAAATTTTTCCAGTGTTTCCCTTGTTCTGTTTTTACTGCATTTAAAACTCTGTTGGAATGTGAACCTTATTCTTTTTTCTAGTGTAGGCCTAATGTTAACTTATATTAACTAATTGAGTTTTAAATCGCGCAAAGCTTTGTTACAATGTAATCTTAGTTTTGATTCATGTTAAACTTAGTTCAGTTTTAAATGCCCGCACGACTCTATTCATACAAATTTAGTTGCATTTCTGTAATAGCCTTGTTCTGTTCTATATGCGCGAAAATAACTTATTTAGATTTTAGCCTATTTCCAGTCAATGTGTGATATAGCTTTAGATGGACTCATTTCTCAGTTACAATGTGAGCTTGGTATTCTGTCTAGTTTATGCTTAGTTTAGTTGAGTTTTTAACGGTACGCATAGCTTTGTTACAATACAAGTTTACTTTTTTCTCTATTGTGTGCTTAAGAACAGTTTTTAATGCATGCATAAGTCTGTTACAGTGTGAGCTAGTTTTTGTATCCAGTATGCGCCTAGTCCAGTTTAAAATACACACATAACTCTCTAACAATGCGAGCTTAGTTTTACTTCCAAGGTGTGCTAAATCCAGTGTTAATTGCACACATTACTAAGATACGTCGGTATCTAAGTCTTTCTGGTATACGCCTTGTTCAGTTTCAAAGGTAGACGTTACTCTGTTATAATGTTAACTTAGTATTGTTTCTGATATACCCTTGATTTAGTTTTAAATGCGTGTAAAATTTAACGTGGGCTTAGTTTTGTTTACTGTGTCAACCAAGTTCAGTTTTAACTGCTTGCATAAATCATATATTACAATGTGAGTTTAGTTTGTTCCTGGGGTGTATCAAGTTAAGTTTTAAATGAGCTTACAACTCAATTACAATGCGAGCTTAGTTTTGTGTGTGCATAACCCAGTTTTAATATCTTATGAGCTTAATCAGTTCTTTTTTCTGTCCATGCCTAGTTCAGTTTTAAATGTGAGTATAGCTCAGTTAGAATGTGAGCTTAGCCTTTTTATGCAGTGTTCTCCTAGTTCAGTTTTAAATTCTTGTGTGTACGTCAGTTCCAATGCAGGCTTAGTTTCAGGCTTTACCCTAGTTTTCAACACACCCAGTTTCAGATGGGCACATATAGTTCATGAGCTCTTTTTTCTGTATGACTGCAACACTTAATAATAACGTACTTCACAATTGCTTGTTTTTCGCCTGATGCTTGAGTCATTCACTCTTTACATTTCGTTATGGTCTATATTTGCTACGTACTATACTCTAGATAGCATTTAGCAAGTGCAGAGAAACAGGGCCACAGATAGTCGTATCTAACGAACTTGTTCCTTTAAGATACATTAAGCAATAAAGTATTAAGAAATGATAGACGCAGAAAGCTTGTATTTTAGGGCTGATTTTACAGGCTTATAGTAACCGAAGCGTCCCTTTTTAAATGATAAACACCAACTATTCCCTTAGTTATACCAACAAACGAACGCGGTCTTCAACCAACGTGGGTATTGGGCATTTATCTTCCTAGGTAAGGGTATTCCAAAGCTGGGCTAGATAGAAACAACAACAAAAACAGGACTACAATAACAACAACACCAGTAACAATATATTTGTTAGCTACTCAGTTACGTCATACAAATTGATATATCACTGGAATTAGACGCAACCGAGTTTTGAAACGAAATTGAAGTTGAAATCTAAGAATAGAATTGAAGTTATCTCAAGAAAACATTCCAGTTCTTTAACTCTTAGTCAGATATTATAACATGTAATCATTATACTTCTTATCCCTTTCACTTATAGTGTTTCCCGTTTTTTATGAAATTCTATTTCCTTTACCACTATAAAAAGATGATTTCTTAACATAATCGATAGAATATTGCAACTATACATATATGAACGAGAACGACTAAATAAATCATTTTACAAAAAACCGACTAGAATTTTAAACGCTTACTGATAAGAACAACAATATCTCGATCTTCTTGAAAAAACAACTTCAAAAACCGTGGAGCGCTATTTAGTTGAAATTGGAGCGTCGTCATATCCAAATTCAGTAGGAGCCGAAATGTATCTTAAACTTATACCTGACTTTCNCTGGATTTACAAAGGCATTACACCCAAGCTGTTTAATAATCAACTTTTGAAACAAAGTTTACAAGACTATCTAGTAGAGAAACCATCATAATTGCCAAGATTGAATGAAATGTGTCTAGCATCACTTTCATTGAAATTTAGTGTATGATTTTTTAAATCATGCAACATAACCTTTTGACTCTTGAGAGCTTTTAACTGATTTGGAATCTTTTTATTTAACTCAAATGAATTGTCAATTTCCTTAGTTGCTTGCCTTGCAAGCATTTAGCTGGCGGAGAAAGTTACTTGCCCAAGTCAGTTGTCTAACTTGTCCTAGACGACAACCAAATGGGGGCTTTTTTGAGCCCTAAAAGAGTGTGGACAAAACGTGTGGCCTTTCCTGGAAAAAGTTTGAATCCCAACTTGGACTAGCCTGAGTCATTTTTCCACGAGTTTGAACTAATTTGATTATTCATAAGAAGGAAAAAAGATGAAAACCAAGTAAACAGGCCTACCCTATGGCCTACCGGTGGTCAGATTTTTAAAAGCATAGCATTGGTGCAAACCTTTCAACGTTTTCCTGGGGACTGTCTTACCAGTATGATACAATACAATCAGAAAAGGAGGCAAACAGTGTTTAGAAGTCAATACATGTCTCCTGTTTTTTGAGACAAGCCATTAGGATGGGTAAATTGCTCAAATGATTCAAAATTTGCGTTTCCTTGTGTTAATAATCTTAGCATAGGTGTGGACAGAGTGTGGATGATTAGCATCTTCTATGCTTTAGTTACATTTAAGAAAGATTATAACCAGCATAAAATACAATGATAACGACAGTCAAGTTGAAAATATTCATGGCTCAAACCAATTTTCAGTCTGTTCTATGTCAAGGCTATGCTCTAGCGGCGCTCGCTCGCCTCAGGCAACTTACATTCAGTCCCAAGCAATTGAAAAAATATTCCAATGGTCCAGCCTCTTGTGCAGCTTTCGCCTCCATGGTAAATCTGGCTATTAATTGCTACATTTTTAATTGATTGATTTATAACCATTACTGGCAGAAAAGATATTCTTTTGCGCGACACTTAGTCGAATTGTTCACGGTCGAAGATTCCGAAGTAACTGCTACGTTCCGCTTCACATGATTTCATACGAACCCAAATTAAAATAATAATTGTAACAATAGTTCCTGTCAGTTCCTGAACGTGATAAACCGCACGGATATTGTAAAAATAGGTGTTGAACACCGCGATTTTCCTAGAGATGATCATTGTCTGATTTAGTTCAGTGTTTCAGTGGATTTGGAGAGTGCAGCCCATTCATTTTAATTTCAAACCAAGATTCTCTCTATATGCAAATTTCCCGCGAGCCAAGCTTTGTTTGTAGGTGTTTATTGATTGCTGTGATAAGCGACTTGCAATTACTTTAGAAAGATTTAGCGAGAACTGAGCTTATGACAATTGCATATTTTGACTTGTTTAGTTTGGTGCTTTCAATGAAAAATATATGAAGTTCACATACTTTGTACTGCGGTATTAAATACATATGATGCACGATCC